TACATGTGCTTTTTGGAGTACACACATAAAAGATTCCTAAAACGAATTGTTAAAACTTTTTTCTTAAGTGCCTTTAGCATATTTTGGCAGAATCAATTGAAAATGGGAAGTAACTGTTTTGAGTACCTTCGCATGCTGAAAGGCTTGCAAATAGGATCTACTATGACTCTATCTCCTGCAACATAGATCTGCAGCAACAACATAAATTATGATTAAGTGCACAAATGACTACTTCAGTAGGCTCAAAATAGAAAATTAATTTAAGGGGGAATCACCATGCTCTCAGCTATATGTGGATTTGTTTTCTCAAGCAACAATGCAATGATGCCTGGGTCCACTTCAGTTTGGTGGTTTGATATAAGGACAACATCGTGACCCGGCAACCAATTGTCTAACAATTATATCCAATAAAGCCAACTAAATATAAAAGATTTAGACAGTATCTCATACTTCCCTAGTCCCACTTTCATGTCAAAAACTTCTAACATCGAAAACTTAGTATGACCACTTTTAGCTTATGCAACATAAAATTGCAAGTAAAACACAATAAAAGTTCCTATTGAATGTTATCACTAAGATATAAATCAGCTTTATTTGCATAATAAAAATATAAACTTACCACAACCTAAAACTAATGAATTAAGAAATTAAAAGATAATGGGAAAAAATTTAAACATGTGAGAACCTGTTACCTGTATTTTTTCTCGGATACATGTTCTTATTAGTTATTAAACGAAAACAGTGTAAGTATTACAGTAGTCAGAACAAAAAGTTTCTTTAACTTACTATCAATTAGCTCTATAATGTATAAATCAATTTATGATCTTTACAGTATGCCTTTTTAAATGTAAAACATGATAAGGACATTCTGCTAAACATTTGTCAAAAAGAAGATTGAGCAAAACTCAAGTCATGTTCAGAAGTTATTAATAAGAATCCTAGGGAAGGGGAAAAAACTGGGCATTGGCACCTGTTTAAGCTTCTCTTCTATTTCATAGAAAAGAGAAAGATTCCCAATGTATGAATTTCTGCAACAAATATGATAGATAGATGTTAAGAGAAGTAACAAGAAAAAAACCCAGTACACCAAATGTGCACTCGGGCTGATTAAAATGAGAGTAACATAAATTTTATATGAAGCACATGAAATACTAGCAATGTGAATTAACAGATTATGAGGAAGTTGATAAGAATTAAACTGCATCTACACAACAAGCAGAATAAGACATTGCTCGGAAGGGGAAAGGGAGTGGACTATACATAATACATGTTTCTCTTTCTCAGCATTGTTGTCAATTCAGTTAATAAAAAAAACCATACAAGAAGAGAAAAACTAATTGAGACCATAAGAATATTGGGGAGCTTTTATCCACCAGCAGACCAGCCTTCTCATTTTAGAAGATTTCTAAATGTAATATTACTTCATTTTAATAGAATAATCACTTGCTGCTCAAGAAACCCTCATGGCATTTTTTGAAAGAACCACCCAACAGAACTCAAAAAATAAGAAGCAACAGAACAAGCTTAACCTTAGATAGTCTCAAAAGGTAGAAATTGAAAAACTATAAATTCCTTCACCAAAGCACATTTTGAATTTTCAGGGGAGATTTCTGCAAGCTAAATCGACATAAGTAAAGAAACCAGGATAAGAGGACAGTGTGGAAGTTGTCCACTCACCTCAAATCAATCAAAGGCCGAACAAAATTTTGAACAAACACGTAGTAGTCAAATGGCTCTTGCAAAGCTTTGTGGTAGGGTTCAAAGACAAAAGGATCCTGCAAATGTAATGTCATATTTCATGCAGAAGTTTATAAAAACTACTAATGTGTATGCAATTATGTGAAAATGTCATATTTCATATATATTACAAACTGCAGAATCATCTGGAAGAGCATTGTAGCACAATTACCTCCACATTCAAAAGAATACCGTCAAATGCAACAGCCATGTTTGACAATACAATCTCAACAGCAGCAGGATCTCCACTTTGGAAAACCTAAATGTTGCCACATGCAAAAAGATTTTCTCTTTAAGTTTTCACTTTTCAGAGGTATCGGTAAAAATGCAGAGATTTAAAAACACATGATGTTAGGTATGCAAAAATATATCAGCTTCTTAAAGATCTAAAAGACTGGTAGCACTTTCTAGCGCAAAAAAAGAAGCTTGATGCTGCAACCTAAACCAAAAGAGTCTATGCTGGGGAGAACCTATCATATTACATTAATATGCACTAAAGTAAGAATTCAAGTATATTAGTTTACTGCATTTCTATAATTCTGATACAATTCTTCCATTCCTGCTGCGACATTTGAAGGTAGCCTTCCTGCTTCTACTTCCTTCCTAATTCCATATAGGAGTTCGGTAGAAAAATAACCAGCATGAGAGAATAATACCAGTCCTCTAGTTTAATTTTGGAACTACAAAAGGCGGTAGTTAAAAGTACACAACAGGATGTATTCAAAGTGAGGAAATGTTTTCTTTTATTTTCTTGTACACATTCTTTCAATCAACCAAACCTTTCTACTCTTCTCCATGTCCAACCCCTCTTTCCAATCCGTCTCTTCTTTGTTATCAGCCTTAGGAATCTGAAATGCATGCAGCAACTAACAAGACAAGCGCTCACTGTCTCTCCCCATTGACAGAAATCTCGAAAACTGCGGCTAAACTTGAAAATTGGATTTTTTGCAAAATTCTATTTTCAGTGGTTGGCCAATTCCCAACTGAAAAATTAAACAGCTTTTATTTCTATACTATCTTACTCTTCACAAAGATTCATGCAGAGCCAACATAATTTATTTCTAATACTTGAACTTGTTATTGATAAATGCATCCATTCTTGGATGAACTAACAGCTCTTATCAATAACAGAGTCCAATAAATTTTACTTCTACAGCATCTTACTCCTAACATCCATTCATACTCCAAATATTCGCATGAAGCACTTTTGAGTGTAATTATTCATTTCATTAATCTGTGCATATTTTCAGCACGTAATCTTTGTTACAATAAACAAGAAAAAAAATCACAAAGTAATATTTACAATATTTTATTGGAAGCTTTATTTCTTTAAATAAATAAATAAACATAAGAAGAATTTTAAAAATTTTAAAAAGGAAAGAAAAAGATAAAGAAAGCGAACCTTGATCGGAGCGAGCTTCAACGAAGGTACGGGAATGCTCAACCTCAGAGCTCCCACCTCCATTACTAGCGGCGGCGGCCACGCCCGATTCCTTATCTTGAACGAGTTCTGTCATTGCCTTAGCTGTCAAGGAGTAAAAGACGCAAGAGAAACTCCTGTTTGTTGTTTCGGAAACAGATCGAAAGAGCTTGACTCGCTGAAACGGAACTAAAGTAGAAGGAAACGAAGGAGAAGAAGATTTGAGCGAGAAAGAAAATGTGTCGCTGAAGCATCGAAGAGGCAAAGAAGACATTAGACTTTTGGTTTCTGAAATAAGAGAGGGAAATTTGAGTGAAACTGAAAAAAAGAAAGATTTGAAACAAAAATCCTCCTCATTTATTATCTCCCTAAAAGAGAAGAGATAAAAAAAAAATTTTTTTCCTTTTTTTATTATTGGTTACTACTCCTTTTTTCGTTTTAATTATCCAATTCAGATAATAAAAAGTTTTTTCTTTTTTAAACTTTAGAAAAGATTTGTGGGCTGATTCTCAGATGCTGGGACCATTTTTGTCAATCCATTATGGGCCAACTAACGAAAAGCTGGTTTCTCTCAAATTGGGTTGATAAAGCAATGAAAGATGGTTTTTTGAAAGATTAAAAAAAAAGAAATATAAATATGATATTAATTTTTTCAATCATCTAGATGATATTTTATTCGTTTTAAATGATCATGTTTTAAAAGTATCTCCATGAAAATGATTTTTGCTTATTCCCTATTTGTTTTTATGATAGGGTTAATGAAAATCAAATTTATAAGACAAAAAATATATATATTTATTGGAAAGAACGATTCTATTAATACTTGAGAGACAGACAATTTATAGATGGTATGTAATGAAGAAAACAATGATTTTTTTGGGTCTTTACTATGAACATTATTAAAGCAAAGAATATGAAGGAAACATTGGAATGGGGCTTTGACAATGGCCGCTGTATTCTTCTTTTTTTTTTTTAAAACTGAGAGATGATCAAAGCTTAGAGATTTTCTTTTTTAGTACAAAGTTAGCATTCTTCAAATCCATAAATGGACAAAGCATCTTAGGCATTTACGAGGGATTTTCAGGAATGTTTGCTTGAGAGCCAATTACTATATTGTCCTTACCAAGTGTTTCCTTTGCAACTCATAATAATGATCTTTGTTTAAACCTTTTAATTATCAATTGGCTAAAAACACTTGTTAATTATCACAAAAGATTAAAGAAGATCATTCTGCCTTCTTTTTTTCGGTGAAAATAAGTTTATGAGCAAAGAAGTTATCCCTTCTTCAAAGTCTAAGTCAAGCTGCCAACTTGATAATAAGATTTACGATTCTTTGAAAATTTTCAAATTTATAAATCATTTACCAATAAAAAATCATGAAAATTCAAATCTTATTGTTTTACGTTTAAAACCTAAACTTTATTCACTTGCATCAATCCCTATACCATTTTGTTTGAGTCACGGGCTCCCTAGGATAGATAGAACCAAATTGACGTAATGGGCCATCAATAATGCAATCACGGGGCCGACGTGTAATTTCAATGCTTAACTCTGTTCCTAATCCTTTGGTTCATCGTCATTCCACCACTTAACGTCGCAGTCACATAATTTACCCCCTGCTTCATTACTCGTACAACTTTCCAAATGTTTTACCCAACTGGTTATCCTAGATGAGGACTAATATTCCCAGCTATGAGCTAGCCGGTACATACGTTTAGGAATGGTCAACTTATGCAGAATTTTATGATTATCCTTTAAGAAATTCAGGGTAGAATTTGCAAACTATTCACAGGAGAGAGATTCAAAATCTGAAATGCCTTATGTGAAAGATAACCACGGAAAGTAACCAGAACAAGCAAATTGAAACTCATGTCTTTTGTTTTAGCCAAAGACAAAACATCAAATTCCTACCATAATTTAGATTACATATTGCTTATGCATAAGCTCGTAATAACACCTAAGAATTCATTTCATTCTATAATTATGAATCACGGCCAGAAACCGAGAACATATCAGTCCAGCAAACCTGGAGGCACAATTTATCCAAGGAAATTCATGATCACTAAATGGAGCACCAAGTTGCAAAGAACAAAATCTGCAAAAGCTCGCTCAGGTGGTAGATCCTGCAATTGATACCAGCATTATCAAGTCCAGGATTTAATATGCCGAGAATGTTCACTCCTATGCATTGGGATTTGGCAATAAAGGGGAGAATGACTTGAAGGTGAAAAGAAGTTATTTTGTGGGGTTTCAGGCAGTTCAAAACAATCAGCATAAGTTAAGAGAGGAAATAAAGATTTCAGCTCCTCAAATCATTTCAATTTAGAAGGATAATAAGATCATTCGATTTTGTTTTTCTCCCCCCTGCCTCATTAACTACCGAGTATAAAACAGAAGATATGAAAAAGCTTACCTTGAATTCCTTGTTTTCTTTGTTCACTTGAATACGAAGACAAACTGGATCCAAATGAAACCAAATCGGTATCAGAATTGGTCCTTTCACATTGCTAAGAGTTGTGATACAAAGTCCACTTACCAGCAAGGACTGCTGTCCCAACACAAGAAAGCACTCCAGAAAGAAATGAGTTGAAAGGAAATGATCCCACAATAGCCATGTAAACAACCTGTGGATCCCCAATGTAATGTAAGCGAAGATTTAAGAACGGAACAAGTTGTTGAACATTAATTCAACTAAGCTAAACATATTGGCACAGAACTATTCAAACAAAAATGGGGTTGCAATAAAGGGGTGAAGCAAGAAGTATAATGAGTAACAGAGCAAAATCAAAAGATACATGACCTTAGTACAACAATTAAACAGTCAGAATCCTCTTTTAGATTCTATCGTAAGCTGGTTTTCATGGAATTTCAAAATGTTCAGTATGATTACTTTTAAACTCATTAATTCATTCAATATATACTTGCATTTCTAATTTGTTATCAAATTCATCTATTTTGTTTAAGTTCACCTTCAAAGAAGACTGCTACAATGGGTAAAATATAGTGAGAAAGCAAAGAATTGAAAAACCCTGAAGAACAAACCAATATGTTTTCAGCAACTAAACATCATGCAAAGAATATGTATACAAGGAAAAAGGGATTTACGAAGATGAAAGGAAGTACCTGAATTAGAGCAGTGAAGACTGCAAAACCCACGTATAGATCAATGATCTGCACACAGAAAACCGTCCAGAAAGATCCAATAAAAATGGGATTAGAAATTCAAGAAACAGATAATTGAAAGTTAAAAGGGAAGAAGAAGGAGAGAGACCTTGAGATTGATGGGAGTGGAAGCGTAAGCAGAGCGAAGAGAATGGAAGAGGGCTTGAGCGTCGTCCTTGCTCGATGATGTTCTTCCCATTTTTGCCCTAAATTCAATTGCCCCTTCTTCTGATCTTCTCTTTTCAATAAAAACCCCAAATTCAATTGCCACTTCTTCTTCTGATCTTTTCTTAACAGTAAAAAAGTCTCTCCAACAATTCAATGAAAGATCTAAAGTCAATAGTATAATCTTTTCGGTCAACCTTGATCGGATCTCAAGATTCAATCTCCATCGTTCATTCCAATTTTAATTAAAAAATATTAATATTTATTAATTTGTAAAAACTGAAAAAAATACACTCTATTATTTTTTTGGCTATTAATTTAAAAAATTAATTGATGTGTTTGTTATATAAGATTATGATAAAATAAGATAAAATGATATTATAAATAAAATAAAATAAAATAATTTTATTATATTTTTTGTTTGATATGTATAATTATTATGATAGAATAATTTATTTATTGATAATTTTTTTAAATGTATATAATTTAAATTATTAATGTAATTTTTAAATATATAATAAGATATGTAAGTTTAATTTTATATATTAAAAATAGTTTTGTTTATTTTTAGAAAATTAAATTATCTTATACTAAATAAATGATTATTTTTTATAATTTTTTTAAATACAAATTAAATAGCATATAAAATAATTATTATAATATTTTATTTATCATTTTACCTATTTAATTAGCTAAATGGAAGATGATATTTATTTTGTTTTTTTGATAATAATTTATATAACAAATCAGAAATAATGCCACCAGAGATTTGCTACCAATAACGTCTTATGCATACGCAAAGTCATTTTATTATAAAAGAAGATTACATACGTAATAATTTTTGTAAATTATATATAAAAATATTGCAACATCAAAATCAAATAAAAAAATAATAATTATTTATAATTTACATGAATAAAATGTGGAGTATTTACTTAGATAACTAGAAAATGAAAAGTATGAACCATACAGTTGAAGACCCAAACCATAAAGATGATTGGGAGCAAACGCCTCGTTTCTTGGTTTGCAGAAAAAAGTCACAGCTCCACTTTAAAACAAACAGACTGCAATGACATACAGCATTCAAAGAATGCCTGGCCCCCCACTGTGCTTTTGTGCTTTGTTTGCTTTGACGTACCAGCAGCCTGTTCCTCTCCCCTCGATAAATCTTTTTCATTTGCCACACTTTGTAAGCTACCGTTGATATACCTTCCAGCATAACATAACATCATCATTTTGTCAGAGTGAGGACTATCCGTTGTCGTTTCCAAATTTTGAACCAAATACTCTTTTGGTCTTTTTTTTTTTTAATATCACTCATTAGTTTTCATATTTGTTCTTTTAATCTTCTATCAATGTTTTTTTTTTTTTTGAAGATATTTTTTATTTTTTATAATTTAAAAATTATAGTTTTAAATTTTAAAATATTAATAAAAAATTACATCTGACAAAAAAAATTAAAAACTCCAAAAAATTTTACATGAAAAATCAATGGCTGATTGTGAAAAACAATTGTATGACAATGGTCCATGCCGAATTCGAGATATAGGTGATAGTTAATTTAAATTTATAAGATAATAAATTTCAAAAAAAATTATTTTATTTTTATATAATAAATTTTAATTTGATAATAAAAAATTATAAATGTTAAATTATAAATTTATTTAACATTATATTTTAAAAATAATTATATAAATATATGAAATAAGTTCTGAATTCCTTAAATTTTTTTTTTATATAAAAACAAATGTTTTATTAGTAGTATCATGGTTACAGCTGGCGAAAAAATAAAATTTGGTTATCTACTTGGCCAACAAGTTGATGATGCTAAACCAGACAATTATTTTCCATAAAAGACTTTTACCTAATCAAATTATTCAAGTCATTGTATTAAAATTTTCTTTTAGTAAGTCTAAAGTATTACGAATTCACAAATAGCTGTTTAAAGACTTTTACCAGTCAATCACCCATTCCAATCTGGACTTTCCCTACCATGACATGAAAGTCAATATTGTTGATTTCCTCTTTTTTTTTTTTTGGTTTTGGTAGTAGAGTTTTTTTGAACAATTGAATTATAAGTCTTGATATTTTATTAAAAATAAATTATGACGTAAATTTGTGTACTATATATACATGTTACAAACAATTATATGAATGATTATTTAAAAAATTCAAATTTACCATTTTATTATATTTTTTGGTGCAATTTTAATCAGTTATTAATTTTCAATCCATTTTTTTTATATGTAACATGGAAAATATATATATTTTTTAACTTTAAAAAATAGCACCAAAAAATGTAAATATAAAAAATACAAACAAGATAAATGATTTATGGTTAGAAAAATGTTTTAATTTATAATGCTAATAAAGATTGTATAACAAAAAATTTTCCTTGAACAAAACCAATATCTGTATTGCCACCTCATTATTCACTCTTGCTATTTGATTTTTTTCCACCACTTGTACTTGACACTTCCACCACATTATGCTTGCAGTATTTATAGAAAGGGGGTACCTTTTTTGAGAGGTTTGGTTGAGCCTCTGTTTGTGCATATGCGATAATTTATGCCCCACCTGATTGGTTTCATTTTCACGCCCAACCTTGAACGAAAGCAACGCTACAACTGGAAAGGCGATAATTTATGTATTTATATAATTTTATTTTTTTATATTAATATTTATAAGATATAAAAATTATTATATCATAATTTATATCAATAAATTAAATATAAAATATTTTTTATTTTTATTAAATTTATATAGTATTTATAAGTTTTAAATTATATAAATTTTTTATTTTTTATTATTTTTTATATTTTATATATTAATTGTTAGACGCTTTAACCCATAAAAAATTGACAGATTGGCGCCAACCTCACGAAGTTTATCTTTTTTCAATTGGGGCCACACCTCTCAATTATTTTAACAATACAATTTTTTATTTAAAAAAAACAAAAATTATAACGTATAAAAATATAAAAATATAATTAACTCCCAATTTTACCCAACCAAAATTATGGAATCCCAAAATTACCCTTACTAAATCCCAACAACCGCCTTTGAGTGATTTTTCAATCCCGAAAATGACCTTTGCCACCCAAACCAAATTAAATGTTTCGTATAACTACGGAGTCAACCAAACCACGGATCCGATACAAACCGACAGTGACAACATAATGTGTGACAGCTGGAACATTATCACTTTTCCAACGAGCGTTCATTGTGGGATTCCCCTTTGCGTCTCGTCCAAGGAAGAGAGAGAAAAAACTGCAAGGAAAAGATTTAAAGGAAATGAGAGAGATGAGACACAAAGCCGCCGACTCTCTGAAGAAACCTTCAAAGTCTGGCGAGGAGAGAAGGAGTAATTTTTTATTAACGGCGTCGTCTTTTATATTGAATTAGGGTTTGCGATTTTTCTTTTTTTCTTCTTCTCTCGCTTCCTCAGAGTCCCCTCTCTCCCAAAAAAAAAAAAATCAAAATAATAAAAATAAAAGAAGAACCCTCTCTTATGCAAAAAGAATCACTACAAAATTTATCTCATCGGCAGGTAATATCTTTCATTTTCTTTTAGTCTAGGGTTTTTTTGGTTGGATTTACTTTTTGAGTGTGGATTGGCCGTAGATCGGACCAGATCTGGGTATCTGCAGGCCTTGGATTTGTTTGTTGAATAATTAATTTTTTTGATGGTTGATTTCTTGGAATATTACTTTTTTGGGGGGATCAACAAAGATACTGCAGTATGTTAATATTGAGAAAATGTGCTTTCGGATTTTCATTTTAATTTTTTCGATCTTGTGGTGTTAGCGAGAAATTACAAGATATCCAAAAATTTTAATTTTAGTTTTTTTTTGTTTGACTCATTTTTTCAGGCCAAAAAATTATTTATTTTTTAATTTAGGGATTAATATTCTTGGTTGAATTTTATATTTTCTTTTTAATTTTTTCGATGTCGCCGTATTTACAAGAAATTGCCCGATTTCTTGAAATCTTAAATTGTCGCTTTCTTTTTTGTCTCAGTTTGGAAAATCATTTAGTTTGTTAATTTGGAAAATATGTTTTAGGTTTATCTTGTATTTTCTCCTTTCTATTTTTGTTCTCGAGACTCGTAGTATTTGCGGGAAATTACCAGTTTTCGGAATTTGTTTTTCTTTGGATTCGTTGAATTTTTGCTCAATTTTCTTGACAACAATCAGCGTTTGGTAGTTTAATTTTTCTTAAATTTGCTTTTTTGAGGTCAACGGGGTTTTCTGACTTAAAGATTTACGTAATTATTTGTGTTATTTTTTTTAACAAAATTTACTCATTTTTTCAGGTCAACGCGGTTTCCTGTTTCAAGGTTTTCGTGATTAATAATATCTTTACTTTTTGTCTGATCCGAGTAAAATTTTTGGCTTTTGTGAAATTTCTGGATGATTTGTTTGAGGTCAACGTGATATTTGATCTGTAAAATTTGTTGCTCACAAACTCGAAAGAAAGAAATAAAGAACAAGGAAAGATAAAAATCTATGCATTTCTTTATACATTTGAACACACAAATAAGAAAAAAAAAAAACCAAAGAATTGTTGAACAATAATTTTAATAAAATTCTTTGCCACAATATTCTTAGGTGCTGTTATTTGATGCAATAGGAGGCAGGGCTACTTAATGCTGTGGATGAAATAAGGAAGTTGCTTTCTTTTATGTGAATTAACTTTGTAAAGAAAAAAGAAGAGCATGCACAAGATGAAAATGTGCTATATGAACAGGATGGAAACTAACTGCAGTTCTAGGTATGTCCTCTTGCTGTGTAACGATTCTAGTAAGTTTGGTTTGATAAACTTTGAGACACTTGCGTGATGAATTGGTTGTGTTTAGTCTAAACTTTTGTACTTATGTTTCACTTAGTGCGACTTGACATGTCTTTTTTTTTTTTTTTTTTTTTTTTCAGGATTTGCATGTCAAGTTTTAGGAGGCATTTTCTTTGAGACTGGTAGAAGGCTAGACTTTGTTTTCACTTTTGCACTAGAAGCTTTGGTTTTAAACTTGTTGATAGGGATTGATCTAGGTAGAAATGGAAGCACCGAACGCCACGGTATTGGATAGTAAGCCTGGGGTTCTCCACATCAAGCAAACCAAGAGAAAGTGGACAGCACAGCATGCAACGTATTTTCCTGGATCTTCTCATGTTATATCAACACAATTGCCCGGCTTGAGTTTATTATCCCAGAAACATGGCAAGCGGAGGAGATTGGAGGATCATAAAGGCAAAGTTGTGAGTTGTGGTTATTCTTCAAAAAGATCTTTGTTGCTTTGCTATTCAAATTTTAGGAAAACAGGAATTCCAAAGCGCATAATGATCTTTGAGAAAGGTGAATGGACTGATTTTCCCCATGATCTCATCGCCTTAATTAGGAAAGATCTTGATGCGAAGAAGCCAGCTATTGAGCTTGAGAAAGATGGTCAATCTTTTGTTCTAGATTTCTTGCACATGTTTCGACTGGACTGTAAAACTGGCTTGAAACAACCAATTGCTTGGATTGACGAGGCAGGTGGCTGTTTCTTCCCTGAAGCTTTTGCTGTTGAGGATGAACCATATCAGTGTTGCGAACATGAATATGAGAATGATCAAGAATGCATGTTTAATGGATTATATGCCATCCCTGAGATCAAGCTACAGGTTGAGATTGACATTAATGGTGTTGATCAATCGAAGTTAAAGGAATGTAGTGGAAAATCAAGTTCTTTTGTTAGACATTTTCAAATTGTTCAAAAACCTGCCTCCAGTCATTGTGCTGTAGAAGTTGCGGACAATTGCAAGTGGAGTGCTGACTCAAAACCCAGCAAAGCTGTTGAGCATAGTCAACAGAAAAGGATTAACTTAGTCCCTGAAAATGAGTTTGTGGATGTAGAGATGGATGAACAGTTGGATTCTTCAACTGTTGAGAAGATGTTTCTTATGGGTATGAACCCTTGTGGAGGTATGGATATTCTTGATATAAAACCTTGCTCCAGTGCTTCAACGCAATATAGATTAGAGCGTTTCCAGGAGCAGGTTCAAATTATGGAGAAGTATCGTGGGAATGCAAATGTTCAGTATGCTTGGCTTGCTTCTTCTAAAGCTTTCCTCCCTGCCATCATAAGGCATGGGCTTGGGCATTGTGGTGTTTCCACAATTCCATACATGTATGGTGCTGGTGTTCATCTTGCTACTGCAAAATTTAGTAATGCCAGGTAGGAGCTTTGTTTCATTGTTTTTGCTATGAATACTTTTGAATATGCAAGTCTTCTATTGTTTTAATTTTCTGAGAAGAAAATGCTTCAAGGCTTCATTGTAATTTTGTTAGTGTAGTAAACTTTGTAAATCAAGAAAACTACCTTTTCTTCTTGCCCTTCAAAGAAAAATGATTAGGTCCTTGTGATTGTGAAAGGATTAGAGCTACCTGCTTTTCTGAAGCAGAGTGAGTATGCATGAAGAACATTTCCGCAACTCATTTAAAATGGTGAAGTTCATGGCCCATTTTTACCTGTAATGAGCCTTGGCTATTTAGGTGCTTAGAATGTAGTGAATTGAATTTTCTCCTTGATGTCTTTTTCTTGTACTCTTCTTTTTTTTTTTTTAAGTTCCTAATCTACTGTTAAGCCCCCCTACCCAACAACATACCTGGCTGAAGAGGACATTATGGGCTTAAGCTCTCTCAAGCCCGTAACCTACAATTGCCAACTCCGATGACATGCCAATTGATCCAAGGGATGGTTGACTTCTACTCTTTGTTTTAAGTGTCCTAAAAGGTTACATTATCTTATCTTCTACAGTAATGGTTTTATGGATTCAACTCTACTGAAATTTAGGGAAAATGTCATGTTGAACTTATGGATTCATGTTCATATCAGGTTCACCCTGAACATGTACTTCTTGCTGCTATGAAAAAAGTTACTTTCTTTGCTTTTTATCTTTGATATCTTTAACATTTTAAGTGTTAATTGCCACTGACTGGTGATTTTCTATTTTTTTTTCACTGCTTCCTTTATCTGCCATTTGTTTTTACAATCCCCAACCAGATGAGTTTTACTTATCTCATGTATACATTTTCAATTTTTATTTTCCATACTCTGGTGATGTTGAGGACTGAACATTTATATTTTATCTATGCAGTGCAAACTATTGTGATGTTGACGAAAATGGGGTACGTTACATGATATTATGTCGTGTAATATTGGGAAAGACGGAGCTTCTTTGCCCTGGAAGTGGACGCTGTCTTCCTAGCAGTGAGGATGTTGATAGCGGTGTGGATGATTTTGAGCATCCAAAGTACTATATTATTTGGAACATGAATATCAACACTCACATTTATCCAGAATTTGTTGTTACATTCAAGCTCTCCTCCAATGTTAAAGGTGATATATTTCTCCTTTAAATGCTGTTTATTTTTATTAATATATTCATTTGTCCTTTCTTTCATCTAACATCAAATTGGAAACTCTACGCAACTCATGGAACATGGCGATTAAATTTTGATGGTTGGCAATCAACTAAACGACCTCAACCGTCCAATCTCCATTTCAAATTTGGATGGCAAAAGGTTTTAAGTTTGTTAATTTAAGAAACAAGGCTTCTTCCATGACGTGTTGATATGTCCTCTTTTGGTGGGGCTTTTTGTTTTTCATTCAAGAGATCATTGATCACTCCAACTACTGGTTCAATGAGTTTGTTGGCTGTGTCTTCAGCAAATTCTGTATGGCTATCATATGTTTCCTTTTTTTGAAATATTTCCAGTTCTTTAGCTCTTGAAGTTTTATGTTGTTCCGACAGGGCATTTGATAGGAAGTGAGACTAATCATGCTGTTTCAGGCATCACATATTTGAAGCAACTACAGGATCGTTTACCATTAATGTCATCTGCTGGTGAATTGGTGAGTGATATGTCTGTATTATGCATTTCAAGTTCTCTCTATACAGTTGAACATTGCGATGGTGTAATGATAAGTAGTATCATTAAAAAACTTGATCCTACTCTGTGGTGGATCAACACCAGTGATTGCTTCCTAGTTGTGTATTTGTGGGAATTTGTCTTCTGTTGGCAAGCAGACTCTTGGGAGTTTATGGTTTTTGCACAAATGGGATTTGACAAGCGTTTCAAATTGCTATACAATAGCTACCAATCTGTCAAAAAATTCAAGATAGCATATGTTTGGTGTTAAGGTCCTCGCTCTCTGAGAGATGCTATGTTCCTACTGGTCATTTGCTTGCTCTTTTGTCCTGCAACAATGTGCGATGTGTGGTTGCTGTTTGAGCTCTCAGATTCTCAAAGCTAACTTTTGAAATGTGTTCGGAAGCTGTAGATGCAACAATCTTGTGATGCGGCTGTGATATGTTTTTATAGTGTTTATATGATAATAATGTGGACTAATGTTAGCTAGAGGTATGGAGGGAAATATATACACGCTGATAAGAAATTTTAAAATGAACAGAATAATTTATCAGTCTCTGCATCATGAGGCTGCCCTTATTCCTATGTTTATTACTTCATGTCATACAGCAACTCAAACAACCTTTATACTCTTGATATTTGGAGGCTGACTATGTGAGTTTTGATAATTCTTTTGGTGAGTTTAATTATGTTTACTGCTGATATTGTTTTGTCATTTAGGGGAGTATTAATCACCAAACTGCAGATTCAGGGGGATCCCAAGAAAATGATCCTACCCTGGGTTCAAACACTTCAAAGACCCCTAAATCCCCTTGGATGCCTTTCCCTATGTTGTTTGCTGCTATCTCAAAAAAAATTCCTCAGAAAGATATCGACCAAGTCACTGATCATTATGAACTATTCAGGGTATGTTAAAAAATATGTTTAATCGTTAGTTTCCATCTGTTTTTAAATAAGGTTTCTTATTCTTCTGTTTTATATTATTTTTGGATGCTTTATCAGACAAAGAAGATGAGTCGTGATGATTTTGTCAAAAAATTGAGATTGATAGTTGGAGATAATTTGTTGAGGTCAACAATAATATCTCTCCAATGCAAGGTGTGATTGAAACTTTGTGCCATGATTTAATAGCTCTGCAATTGCAAGGGTACTACAAGAGGTTGATTTGATTTAACGTTAACCTAATCTAGTTTTCTGGCAATTAGCAGATCCCATCTAGGCATGAATTGGAGGTTGCAAAGCAGAACATGGAGGGTCCTGACAGCCTTTGAGTTACCATTTGACATTTTGGTGTGGTATGGGCTGCTGCATGGTGACCCAAAGAAGTTTGACCTTCAGTTTGGTCTTTATCCGGTGATTGTCACTTCCTGCTTTTTTACTGAAATGCGTCGACATGATGTGGATGTGTTTGAAGGTACCGTAGGCTTAGATCTGTATTTTTTTTTTTTAATATGGTTTAATTGCTAGATATATCTCTTTAGTAGTAAGGATTTGGCTATGCCAAAACTGAAGACCTGTTTTCACCTGAACTGGCTTCCTATCCCCCTATCATAGTTATTTTTCTAAATGTGGACAAGCTGCATCGTTATCTTATGATTAAATAATTGTTGCCTGGCACTTGTACTAGATTTGGGTTATGTGGTTTATACTCAATATTGACGACGGGGGAGCTCCAAACTTCAAAAGCCAATCTTCTCTTACTCGCCAAAACGATTTTTTATTTTTAATTTCTGCAGTTGTTGCCGTTGAATGGTAACGATTGTGACAATTTAATTGTGTAATTAGGGAATAGGTGTTGGAACAGATGTGGTCGTAAGTATAAGAGTAAATTTGAGGTGGTTCGTGGAGCGAAGCGTTTGAACTTGCGTTTACGTTTGTGTTCAACAGGGATGCTGTTGATGATTCTTTAATTAAGGAATAAGGATGTTTAATGGACCAAGTAAAAATTGTTCTTTACCAACCTAAGAAAGCTAGGCAAAGGTCAATTGTGCAAAAATCGATCGATACTAATAGTAATAATTTGCGACTCAGGCTTCATTTGTCGCCTTGAAATTCCACGTTGATGAAGCCAATTGTCATTCTGGCTGCCGGTAGTATATGCTTTGATATGATGGTCAAGTCTCTTGACGGATATAATATCGAAGACAGAAAAAGGAAAGTGCTCTATGATTAAGTCATATAAACAGAGAAAGCAGACAAATCAGTAAAGATAAAAGCTCACAAAGTATCAACAAAAAATTGATTTATTTGGCAGAAATTTTTCAGTAAAGTTTTGAGATATGAGTTCAGATTGTAACTTTTTGCTGGAATCATTTTGAATATCCCCTTGGTATGGACTGTTGGGTTTAGCTTAACTTTTTCTGATTTGGAAGATTGAATCACTTATTTACTCTTAAAATTTTTGTACCAAAAAGAAAAAGGCTCATAAAGTTCTAAGAAAATTACACTCAAACTATGTAAGATAACAAAAAGAAATCAAGCAATAAAATTTCCGACTTGATTACTATTTTTGGTTCTACGTAATAAATTTTGCAATGTAGCAGGTGGTACATCAGCTGCAGGTGATGGATCCCACCCCGGTGGCTTGATGTTTGGCCAATCCCCACGACATCCAAAACTCTTTCCTTCAAAAACCAAAAGCATAAAACAATAGTGAGCAATTTCTCCTAAATTAAGTGTAAATACTTGATTCTTTCTTACATTTATGTTTTTCGTTTTCTATTCAATTATATCAAGTCATTCTACTTCTGTTAAATTACAAGGTATAAAACATGGCACAACTCACTCATAGTTATTCCAAGGTCAAATGTTTCTAATTTGATTACCTTATAATTAACACAAGACAGGCCTTCCATTTATGGACTCCTGCATTGATGGATATATGCCTGGAAGTTTCTTGTCCGATATGACTGTTTGAGGGCACTCAAGGATGCCTGAGCTATGCTTTTGGCACAGTCAGCATCCCAACCCCGGAGCTTCACAACCACATCTGCATTGGAGTAGCCAACACTACCATCTTGAATATGCCTTCTGGCTTCCTCTGCTGAACCCTCATCTGCATCCGAACTTCAGGAGTTACAGAAAATTATTCTAATAGCTACTTTTTGCACCTTGAGTGCACATCTAGCTTCCAGACACGTGGAGCATCCATTAGGTCACAGAATTATTAAGGGCCTAATTACAGGTAAAAGTACTTTAATAGCAAAAGTTCAGTTAATTATGAAAGCACTTTTTAAAAAAAAAATTATCAACAAGAAACGATTGATGACAGTAGCTTGTCTGAGGTAAATAAATGGACAAAAGGAAAACACAAATTTACCTATAGCTTCAGTCTGTGACAACCAGACAGTGAATCCTTAATGAAGATGCCTCCATTTATCAATCCTTCCAGCAGCCCCATGTGACCCTCCTAAGGTTGCAACTACAGCCCGGACATGACTGCCAGAACAAGCAAGCCAAAGAAAGGCCTTTTTATATGTACTTAATGACAAAACAAAATAAAAAGAAGTAATAAAGGCATATGCCTTACCTACTTAAGCTTTCTAGTGTTGCACTTTCTGCTTCAGCCACAGAATCAGAGCCTTCAGCAAGCACCCCTGCAGCAGATCAAACTAATTAATATCTGCAAGCTGTTTAAGAGATAGCACTCTGAGTCTGTAGAACACTGGCTCTTGAAGTCATTTGATAGCAACAAAATATGAAGTAGATCATAGTAAATCTCTTTTGCCGTATGAAGTATGTGAAGTAGAATGTCAAAGCAGCAAAGATATCTGTAAGAAATTGTGGCAAAGATGATTGTATATGAATTACAGAGTAACTGGAAGTATATACTAATGGAAAAAGGCAAGCAAGAGTTCATGCTCTGATATAAGGATTTGTACTGGCTATATTGCAGAAGACAAGATTCAATGGTACACAGATTACAGAGTCGATCCAGAGCTTATCTTCACACAGACGCATAGATAGAGATGTATATATGGGTAACATTATTCCAAAAAAAGCCACACTTATAGACTTAAGGTGCTTCCAAAGTAAAAAATATTGACTTGTAGTACTATAGACATGGAAGGACAGAGAGACATACCCATGTACATGTATCATTTATGTATGTAACTATACATGAGAGCAAATGAATGAGGGCATTCAGGTCCAATCATGTGCATATATCTTTGCGCCTCGGGGAGCTAGGTTTAACAATTAGTAACCAACACTTACTAAAAAAAAAAAAGAAATGTACTCACACGAATCAACAGTTTGCTTGGCGAAAGTTTCTTAACTCTTTTGTATCAAGTGGTGTATACCTGAAATCATATCAACTAATCAAATGGTTAGGGAAGAGGAAATATGAAATAATCATCTATAAGCAAATCAAGGTACAGTAAATATAGGTATAATACAATTCTTGCTTTTAATGATTTAACCTCGACTATTACTATGTCACCGAAGGTTGCGAACTTAATTTGAGGAACAAGGACTAGTCTTTTTTTCTATCTTCTGAAATTAGGATGACAGGCAAGAAATATATGAAGATTCAAAATAAGAACACACGATATGAGAAAGTCAATTATCAAGAAGAAGAAGCAACAGGTATGTAATAGGATTGGTGGAATGTAGATCAAATACCCAAGTGCAACAGCAAGTTCACGAGCCACCTTTTGGTTAATTTCAGTGGAATCCCCAACAATGTAGATTGATTTTCCTTTAAGGAGTTGCATAGAACCAGCTGACAACGACTCCCATGAATCCATAGTATCTGGCCATTTCTAATCCGGATCCTGCTTCTTTAAGTTAATAACAAGTTGATCATCATCTATATATGTGTTCAAGACAAGACAATAAATCTAAATTTATAAATATCTATAATATTTTAAGTTATTCATACTCAGTGCCACGAGCCATATTGTTTCGGCAGGCTTTATTTTCTCAAACAGACTATTAGTTTCTATAAGAGTGATGAGGGAGCCATCCTGCCGTACTTTAACAGTTAGAGAAGTACCATCCGCATCCACAAATATATCTTTGGCACTCTGAACATCTTGGCCGCCAAGTTGCAACCTTAGTTCCACTTCAGAAACCCGTCAGAGAACTGTAACATGCTCCATGGAATAAGTATGGCCCCAAAACAAACCCAAATGATAAAAATGACTGGGAAATCAAGAGAAAACATCCTAAATTCATGAACTCATATATGGACGGACCTTGGGCAGTTTCCTTCTAGTACAAGAGATTTTCACTATAGAAATTTTATCATACATGGGGCACAGTCAATCTAAGAAATGAATCTCAACAGACAATGGCATAGATAGAATTCATTGGTATAGTTATTTGGTTTTATTGATAACTATATCTATAAAATTTCCTTCCTGAAAAGAAGAATATGCTTTTCTAGTGATCCAATTTCAGCTATATACAAGTATCATACATTCAGATTCTAATCTTGATATTTTATTTACTAATTATATTATTACACAATAAAAGTCCCCGAAAGAAAGAAAGCAAAATTGAAACTTTGAGACCAAAACCAAAAGCTTGAATAGACAAACAAAAAAAAGTTTACAACTTTATATATCAAGCTTAATTAATATAATTGGCATAGTCTATCGAGCAATCGGAAAAACAAGAAAGAAAAAGCCAAAAAAAGGCTATAAATTAAAACCTACAAAGAAAATATTTTCTTTTTTTTGCTTTTCTTGACCTCATAATGGGTAGTGTTGATGGAGAAACAGTTGCGGGAGAAGCCATGAATTGGGCTGATGAGTCTCACAGAGTTTCATCTAACGGCAGAAGCTATGGGTTTTACAAAGTGAAAAGAATGTGTTTTGGAACAGAAATGAAGGATTTTGGTTGGGTTTTGCGATGAGAAGCAGAGCGTGGCACTGCCGCTTGCACTTGCACCAGCCATTTGCTTCAACTAATCTGGGTAAAGAAAAGAGCAAGAGAGAGAGAAGAGAATGGATAAGGGTTGAACAGTACTTCATTTTAATTATTGGGTAATGATTCAATCCAACAAACATTGCGTTTATGGGTTGGGCTCTGTCTTTAAACTTGGCCTGAATTTTCAACCCAAAAAAAATGTGTTGGATGTTCCACTATTATTAGCTTTCCCTGCTCTTTTGGACTTCAGTCTGTGAGATAAGAAATGGGTCAAGACAGAAGCGAGCTCAAGACTTCAAACGGGTTTAGCTTTTGACCAAGATAAGATGATAAAAGTTGGATACCAATTCAATGAGGTCCACTGGTCCAGAGCTTTATGACCATCTTCGGAAAAGAAGTGCTTCAAAATTTTCAAGAAATGTATATATTAAACAAAAAACAAAAGCAATTTTTTTTTTGGGGGGGTAGGGAACAGAGCACTTTGGTAATCACCTTTACAGATTTACCTTATTGGTTCAGATTGAACTGCAAGGAAAGAATGGCAAAATCAATTGCTAATTTTTTCTACATGCATTACAGAGATTCTTTTGTTGTACTTTTTCAGGCTTGAAGTCATTGCACAAATAATTTCAAGTATTTTTATGAGATGGTGCAAATATCCAAATTTACTCTTTTGAAACTCAAAAATCTATAAAAACAGAAACCAAAAGAATCAAGCAGGTAATCTATATATATGTATATACTCCTATTGC